GAAGGATATAGTGATGGAGATTAGGAGTAAGGAATGACATCTGAATTTCTAATTTGCATAAATGGGTTTAACTGAAGAAACCTTTACAAGTTGCAGACCAAGCAAGGGAAGGCATAGGAAGAGCCGGTTTTAGTGGAGCCCGGGCTCTGTTTTAGACATGCTCAGTGTGAGGTGACGATGGGATAGCTAAGCAGAGACGTCCAGGAGGGAGCTGCGTGTGGGTGCACGGCCCTGGGGAAGGGGCACTGCAGCCTTCAGGAGGCAGGTAACAGCAGGGCTGCGGTTGGGTATCCTGAAGTGGAAAAGAAGAGGGTTCGAGGTAGAAGTGCTCAGAAAGCATATCAGCACTGAACACCTGATTCTGACAAAGGGGAATCAGAAGAAATAGCCTGGGAGAAAGAGGGAACGTGGGAGAGGGGAGCGTCATGGAAGCCAGGAGGGGCAAGAGTTTCAGCAAGGTGGAGTGGCCCGCGGTGTGAAATGCTGCTTAGAGTCCCTATAGGGCCAGAACTGACAGGTCCACTGGATGGGGCTGAAGAGTTTCATGCCAGTGGCCACGGGGAAGCTAAATTACACTGGCTTAAAAAATAAGTGGAGGTAAGAAAAAGGTCATCTTTCCCCTAAGAGTTTAGGTGAGAAGAGATGGGGAGAGATGGGTCAGCATGGATACTGACGGGAGTCAAGGGAAGGTATTTTCAAAGCTGGGGACCTAAGCGTGTCTCTGCAGGCAGAGGAAGGAGGAGCTGGTGGGGAGGAGATGCTGACGGTCCTGAGAGAGAAGGGCTGGCCGTGGGGCAAGGCCAGAGATGGGAAGGGGTAAAAGCTAGAGCCGGAGGAAAGGTGGGCTTGGCAGGTGGAGGGGCATGTCCTCCTCACACCAGATGGTGAGGATGAGGGTGGATGAGGTTACCGATGCCTGTGTAAGTGGGAGGGGGCTTGTAGAAAGAGGAAGGAAACCCCACATGTGATCACCTCGTTTTTCTCAGCAGGGCAGGAGGTGAGTTCTCTGGGAGCTAAAGGGATGGCACAGGGAGGAGCAGGGGCCCAAGGATGGTCCCGAGGGTCTTGAATACCCTTTGAGGGAAATGGGGGCATTGGTGCTGGGGCTGGAAGTCCTTCACAACAGCAGCAAGGACTGACCTGTTGTAGTGCAAAGAGCGAAGTTCCCTCCCTGCCTTTCTTTCTGCTTCATTCTTTTGTTAGTCTTGTAAGGCAGGTGGTATTAATTTCCCCATTTTATAGGTGAAGGAAATGAGGCCTGGAAAGTGTTCAAAGTTAGAGATGTTGTAAAACACAGAGGTGGGCTTCAAACTCAAGGCTCACTGCAAAGTCACACCCTTAACCCTCCTTGTCACCCACCAAGGCTTGAAGGTCCAGAGGGGAGGGGACAGACATTTGTAGGGACTCTCATTCTCCAGCTTGAGAACTGTTTCATCTTTTGACACCATGAAGGTGGAGAGCAAGTGTGGTGGGGGGAGCTCACGAGAAAGACCCGTCAGAAGCGGTGGTCAGGGAGACGCTGGAATTGGGAGTTACTGAGGTGGGAGAGTGTGGGGTGATGAGAAGCAGCGACGACAAGGCCAAGAGAGCAGGGGGCTGAGACAGGGCAGAGGAGGTGGTCACCCCAGAGGGGAACGTCCTTCATGATATTGGGGAGTGGCCTGCAGAGCCATTGTGGCAGTGAGGGGGGCAAACCAAAGGGGTTGAGGTGTGCCTCGAGGGAGGAGGGGCTTTTGCAAGGTGATGGTTTAGATGAAGCGGTGGGCGTGAAGGGGAGTTTCAGTAGCCCTGACCCTAACCCTGACCTTAATCCTAACCCTTGTGTATGGGAGAAAGAGCAGACCCCACGTGAGGCAGTCCAGGGAGCCCAGGGCTGGGACACAGCTTCTTTGGCAGCTGGACTTAGTGGGGCTTACACTGATGACCCTGCTCGGCCCATCCCCTCAGGGCACATCTGCTCACAGCCACACCTCCTGGGGTTTTGGAGTCACATTATCTTTCAGCTTATTCCAGACTTTGCCCCTTCCTAGTTGTGAAATCTTGGGCTTCAGGATTCAGTAATGCCTGGCATGTAGTAGGGAGCTCAAACTCTGTTCGCTTGCTCCCTGTTTCCTTTCCTCTTCTTTCTGTTGCAAGGCAGGGTGGCATAGAACAGGACGGGAAGGGAGAGGTGCTGGCCTCAGGGAACCCTTTGGCAGATCTCGGGGCATGGACTATGGGACCTGGTTTGCAGCGCTGGAGCCTTCTCTCCATCTCCCTGTTTCCCATCTTCCAAGGGTGAGCCTTCCGTGAGTGGACGACTAGGGCCACCGAGTGCCTGCCCTCTCAAAGCCCAGCGCTGAGCCAGTGTGGTGCATGGAAGCCAGGAGCCGGGCTCCCCGAAGGTGGTGGTGCCCACCGGGGGTCATGCCGCTGGCCTTTGCCGTTCTGCTCAGCTGCCTGCTCACCTCAGGTCAGGCCAGGGTCTACAGTCACTGCGAGCTAGCCAGAGTGCTGCAGGATTTCGGCCTGGAGGGATACCGGGGACACAGCCTGGCTGACTGTGAGCACCCCCTGCCCTGGCTGGCTCCAGGCTCCCTCCCCCTCTCCTCTCCCTTCTACTTCTCACTCAGGGGGTGTGGCCTCGGGAGCTTTCTGAGCCTCAGCTCTTCTTTGTAAATAAAAGGATTAGATGAGATGACAGAACCCAGCTGGAGTTAAATACTTAGTAGGCAGGCAACAGGCAGCCACATCAGCACAGCCCTTTCATTTCCCCCCTGCTGAAGTCAGAGGCCAGAGGAACAGATTAGCTGAGGCCCTATTCTTAATCACAGCCATAAGGATGGGACATTCTCACTGAAGCTTAGAGTAAGCTGAGCAAATCATTGATACCGAACTGTTCTGCTGGCAGCAGCTGCAGAAGCTGCTAAGTACAGCCACCTTTGGACTCATTTTCCTCTAGTCCTAGGCCTCTCTATAGGTCCCACCTGTGTCTTCCTAATCTTGCCTCTAAAGATTTAGTTCTTGCTCATTCATTCCACAAACCTTTCCTGGTCCTGGACCTCACTATGTCCGGCCAGAGAGACAGCAGAAAGATTGCTGGCCAAGGGTCAGGAGGCCTGAGGCTCACTCTTCATTCTTGTTACTCGGTAGTGTATGTGACCTTGAATAAGTCACTTTGCCTCTCTAAGACTTGGTGAATTCATTTGCAAAATAGGTGGGAAGGTATCTGCCCTGATCACCTTGAAGCAAGAGTCGGTGCTTGAGGAGGTAGTGTATGGGCCCCGCACTGTGAGGGCTCTGGTCTTGGGGGGACAGGGTCATCTGGCCCACAGGCCTGTGTCTCCACCCTATGCAGGGGTCTGTCTTGCTTACTTCACGAGTGGCTTCAATACAGCTGCTGTGGACCAGGAAGCTGACGGAAGCACAAACAATGGCATCTTCCAGATTAACAGCCGAAAGTGGTGCAAAAATTTCCGCTCAAATGAACCCAATCTGTGCCACATGTACTGCAGCGGTAGGCGGGGCCAGGGGCTGGGGCTGGCTGGGGCTACCAAGGAAAGCAGGTTAGGGAAGGTGGTGAGGAGGTCCTCCATGCCTCTGACTTGGGGTCCCAGATGGGAGGCTGTCCTGAGAGGTATAGGAATGGAGGGGGATTGCTTTTGATGTGGGGTGTGTTAGAGTGATACCTATGCTTCCAGAGGGGTCAGAAGACAGGGTTGGATTAAGGGTGGAGGAGGGTGTGTGTGTGAGACAGACAGACAGACAGACTCTGGATGTCCAGTTCTGCCCCTCCTCCCTCACTGTGTTTCTTTGCCTCCCACTCCAGACTTGCTGAATCCTAACCTCAAGAGTGCTGTTATCTGTGCCATGAAGATAAGCCAGCAGCCCTTGGGCCTGGGCACCTGGTAGGTAACTTGGACTGGAGGCCCCCAGGGGAGGGTGGCCAGGACTGGCAGACCACCTCAGGGAACTCACCATGCCCGGGTGCTCACTTTGTCTCAGGGACCATTCCGTGGCTTCATGACCCAATCCACACAACAACTTTCGGTGGTAGGGGCTGCCACCCCTGAGTATGCAGACAACACACTGAGTTTCAGGAGCATAAGCAATTCACTGGAGGTCACAGGGCCAAGCCAACATCTTTCAAGATTTGCCTACATTGGGAGGCCTGCTGACTAGCCATGGGCCTAGTAAACCTTTTATGTTTGGCTTTAAATGTGGCATCTCTGTCTAGGCAAACGTGTTTTCAGGTGTACAACAGATGAAAGAGGTGCCCTGCCTGGAGTGGGTGGGAGCTTGGAGCTTCATCCTGTCAGCCTTCTCTTGTCCCACTTCCTTCCCACATATGGCCTTTGAAGCCATCCTCACAGGCAAGGGAGTTGGAGGAGGACCTGACGGAGCACTGGATTAGACCTTTGGTTCTCAGAGTTGCCTCTGAGGCAGTGGCCCTGCCTCTTCTGATGAGAGTTTTGCTATTTAGAGTCTCCAAACCCCTTTTATTCCCATTGCTGAATGAGAGACCAGCCGGGACAGAATGTGTACAGGAGAAGGTCCATACCCCAGGTGGATGGACCACCAGGACCATAGACAGCTGTGCTGGTGACAGGCTGGAAGGGTGATTTGGAAGACATTAACTGTCACCCCAAGAGCAGAAGGAGGGGCAGAGAGCAGAGGCAGGGGTACCAGTCGGTAAGACTTTGCAAGAGTGTGGGTGAGAGCTACAGGGTGTGGACTAGGTTCGTTGCACTGGTGATGGACAGGAGAGGGGTGGGGTGTAAGGGGCTGTGGAGGAGGAATAGGGACCAGTGAGACGTGGCCAAAAAAAACAGAGCAGGAGGTGAGAGGACTATGAATACAAAGAAGGTCTGAGATGGGCTTTGACAATGGCCCCAGTTCTGGAGATGTGTTGATTTCAGAACAGTTGAAGTCCTAGGGACTGAATCCGGAGTGAGGCCAGCTCAGCAGGACATTGTCACGTCTATAAAATAGGAAGGGTGAGCGCAAGCTCACCAGGAATCCAAGGGCTTGAGGCTTTCAGGGTACCACCCTGGGCTGGAAGAAGCAGGTCCTTTTGGATTAAATCCTGGAATAACTCTCTTCTGTGTACTGGAAGTAAATGCATGGCATGTATAACCCCTGAGAATAGTAGGAAGTGGTCCCAGAAGGTAGAAAGGGTGCTGTTTACTCTTCTGGCAACAGGCAACCTTTGGGAACTCATCTGAGCCAAGCTCTGTGCTGGGTGCTGGGTTTTAGAGATGGTGCTGAGACCTGTCTTTGCCATCAAGGGTCTCATGGTCTAACAGAAGAGACAGACAAGGCAGTCAGCAACCGTTCTTGGCTGATAGATCTATAGAGGTCCTGAAGGAACACTCTTGGTCATTGGGCTCTTTGGTGATGACATCATGGAGGACACTAGATATCAGTTTGGAACCCCTAGGAACTTGAGACCTCAGGACCCCAAGATCTTACTTATCTTTTTCAGGACACTTGTGTGATGCTGAACCAAGGTAATGGCCATCAAAGAGCCGTAAAACTATAGTTCTCAACAACGGAAAGATCCAGATGGGTAGCCAACAAGAATTGGGTGTGGGGGCAGTTCTGTCATTTACTAGCTGTGAACCTTAGCAAGTAATTTCACACCTCAGTCTCAGTTTTTCATTTGGAATGCAGTGAACATAACATCTGCCCAATGTACCATATAGGGCTGCCGGTGGGTGGCAGATAAACGGGACAGTGCTATGTACACTGTAAAGGCTTGTGCAGGCAGACCTTGGAGATACTGCACATTTGGATCCAGACCACTGCAATAAAGCAAGCATCACAGTAAAGCAAGTTATATAATTTTTGTTTCCTACTTCATATAAAAGTCATGTCTACACTATACCATAGGCTGTTAAGTATGCAATAGTATTATGTCTAAAACAAAATGTGCACACCTTAATTAAAAACTACACTATTGCTTAAAAATGCTGACCATCATCTGAACTTTCAGCAAGTTGTAATCACTGGTCACAGTTCACCATAGCAAATATAATAATAGCTATAAATATCGTGAGAATTACCAAAATGTGACACAGAGACAGGAAGTGAGCATATGATGTCAGGAAAACAGTGCCAGTAGGATTGCTCCGTGTGGGATTGCCACAGACCTTCAATTTGCAAAAAATGTAGTATCTGCAAAGCACAATAAAATGAGGTATACCTGTATTTATGTAAAGGGGCATCCCTTTCAACAGAAGAGGTGTAGTGTAGGAGAGCATTGGCTGGGGCTCTAGGCCCCAGGACTCTGGGTGAACTTGCCACTGACTCCTGGGTGAACTTTAGCAAATTACTCTCTAGCTCCATTGGTGAAAATAGGGAGCCTACATAGATGAACTTTTTAAGGGCCATTCTCTCCTTTTCTTACTTATTCTGGAGGGTTCTTTGCTAGTTAGGGAAATTGACTTGCTTCTCTTTCCCTTGCTAGGTCCTCTCCTCACCTCATTTCTACTTTCCAGCGCACACCTCCCTCCCATCTTCTCTGAGCAGGGCCCAGAGGCTGCAGCTGATTTGGTCTCTCCTCTTCCCCATCCTCTATCCTCAGGGAAGCCTGGAGGCATCACTGCCAGGGCAAGGACCTCAGCGACTGGGTTGATGGCTGTGACATCTAAGATCCTGTCTGGATGGACCAGGCCATGCTTATATGGGAGATACGGTTTGGTTCCTGACCCAGGCTTGGGAAGACAAGTCAACTAATAAAATGTAGTTGAATATAAATGTGGTTCTCAGCTATCATTGTTTCCAGATGACATGTTGGTGTCAGAGCATCTTAGGGTTTCTTCACCTGAGCTGAGCTTCAGGCGGGCTCTGAAACAAGCTTATCATGGAAGGCTTGCCTCATTCTTGGAGGCCTGGGGTCAGTGCCTTCCTTTCCCACACCTGGCAGAATTTCCTAGACCCTTTACTTGGATCTAGGTTTGCCAAATTTAGCAAAAACAAACAAATAATAATAACAAAAATGGGATGCCTGAGTTGATTTTGAATTTGAGATGCCCAACAGGTGAATTTTGCTGTAAGAAAAATTAAAAGTTTGATCTGAATTAGACTATTTTAAATATTGCACAGGACATACTTATATTAGGAAATGATTTGTTGTGCTCCTGAAATTCAGATTTAGTTAGGTGTCCTATTATTTCTCTGGCAACCCTACCTGGGTCTGGTGTGTACCTCTGGCTTGTTTGGGAGGGTCCTCGGGACACTTATTTCTGTGGCTGTGGTCGCAGAGGGTGGCTTGTGGTGCCGTGACCCTCCAGTTGGTGACGGCAGACACACTGGGGGCCACCAAGGGTGACTGGTGCATGGTAACCAACAGGGGCTTCAGTTACGGCTCTCACCTGGCTCTCCAGTGCCCTCTAGCTATGGAAGGTCCAAGTGTCGCTGATAAGAATGGTGGCTGTCATAGCCTGTCTAAAGAAACTACCATTCTTACTCCACACCAGACAACCCTGGGAGGCTGCAGGATGGGGTGGAGGGTGCCAGAGGCTTTCAGGCAGGAGAACTACAGTTATTTGCCTTCCTCAATAGGTGGGAGGGTCGAAGGAGGCAGTACTGTCTCCCATTAACTTCAGCTCATGTCTCAGGTCCCTTGGAATGAACCGTGTCTAAATGAGGAAGGTGGGCAGAGTCTCTGGATCACCAGGGATGTAATGGCATGAGTGGCAACCAAGGGGACGTCTGAGAGGCTGAGCCTGAGTTCACATTGTAGATTCTTCCAGAAAGGCCTAGGGGAACCCTGCAGGTGCTGCTGATTGAAGCCCAGCTGGGGACTCCCAGGGAGAAGAGAGGTTTACAGTACCTGCCCTCCCACCCACCCCAACCTGCCATCTCCAATGCCACTGGTCAGCACACTCCAGGCGGGTGGCTGAGTGCCCACGGTTGGTGAGGCAGGCCAGTTTCCCTCCATTGCTGGTCTCGTGTTGGATCACTCCCGTCCCCAGAGTACCAGCTAGCTCTGCCATGTGTCCCACCCTGGCTTTTGGTTCTGCAGCCCAGTGGAGGGCTTGCTTCCAAGTCAAGGTGATAATACACCTTGAGGGCTGCTCATGCAAGTGCACAGTGGGGAAGGATCAGCAGGTTTCTGGGAGCTGGGGTTTGGGAGGATCAGCAGCTAACAGATGTCTTCTCATTAAGCTCTAGCCCCAGAGACGTTCTAGAGCTTGCCCACGGTAATGCGGTTGGTGGAGTCAAGATTCGGCTGTGGCTGTCAGATTACAAAGGCTGCACCCCATCCTCAGTGTGTCCCAGCCTCCGTAGCTGGATACCTGGCTGGCCACCTGGGGTAGGCAGAGGAGGGAGGCAGTGGAGAGACAGCCCACTTCTCCCTGGCAGAGAGCCACCCTTGCTCAGACACTTCACGTTCTCTGTTTCCAAGTCTTTGCTCAGGGATCTCCTCTGCATACTACAGCAACTTCCACCCATCTCCAGGCTTTAGCCAATGCCTGCTCCGTCTCAGCATGGCAGGCAGACCAGGAGCCTCTTCTCCAATGCGTGCGCTGCACCCCTCCACTGTGGCTCCTGATGCTCAGGCTCTCATGTGTGTATCTATTGCCCACCTCTGCCTGACTATATTCTGGATCCCTGACATTGTGTCTTTTTGATATATGAGCCCCTGGTGCCAAGCACAGTGTCTGCACATAGCAAGCATGCAGAACATGCTCATGGGGTGTGGAAGCCTGGACAGAGAACCCCGCCTAGAGATGGGAAGCCTTCTTCCAGCTGTTCCTGCACCCTCCTCCCTCTAAGGCAGGTTGAGGTGGGTACGCTTTGGGACTCACCAATCTTGGGGCTATTTGAACTTGGATAAAATTCCTTTCAAAAAGAAGCCACAAGGTCTGAATTACACTAAAGACACAAGGCCCACAATGGTGGTAAGTTAGCCAAATGCACCACTTCCTTCAGAGGCATGGTGTGGAGAGCAGCTTCAGGGAGATAAAAATCCAGATTTCCCAACCCGAACATCCCTCAGAGCCATTAGCAGGGGATTGGGCGTAAGATGTCCATAACGGTGCATGTGTGGGGCTCAGTGGCAGCTGGAGAACATTGTATGTGCATTTTCTGCATGTGTGTATGGAACCCGGTCATGGGTTGTTTGCAGAGTGATGCTACAGTTGCTTTCTACTTCATACGTATGCAGGTCTCCTCAGCCCTGAAAACCTCCACTTGCATGCAGTGATTTTATGAGCTTCGTCTCCAATGTTCTCTGTTCATATTCATTTTCTGCTCATTCATCCATTTTGCCATCTGTGAGAACTCATTAGCACACAAACTACAGCAGGTGCCAAAGGTTTAAAAAAAATTGTATGGGGGGGAAACACTTGAAATTGATCAAATCCTATCTACATTTTCTTTTTCCCTCCTGTAAATTGAAAAATGGCGGTCATTATGTCATTTTAGGAGGAGAAGTACTGGTTGTTCTTTGTAGCACTGAAATGCTCTTTGGGAGGAGAGGGTAGTATTTTCTGGACCAGGGTGTCTTTGCTGTAGCTTAGGTGCATCCCTAGAGGATCACAGATGGGCTCCAGGGGTCCATAATCCTCCTAAACTGTATGTAAGATTTTTATGTGTATCTATGTGACCATGTGCATTTTTTTCTGGGGAGAGTGTTCATAGCTTTCACCTTATTTTTAATCCAAACAAGAATAAGAGTCAATGTTTTACAGGAAGAAAAAAGGAAAGAAAGGATAGAAAGAAAGAAAAGGTAGAAAATTCAGCTAATTTAATCCTCTTAATTCCTGAAAACTAGGCATCATCATCTCCATTTTAAAGGTGGGAAATAGAGGCTCTGAACGGTATGTCAAATATTTACTTAGAACTCGATTTCCATTCTCAACTTAGATTTGGTGTTAGAGCTGTCATCAAAGGGATTATCTGCCCATTTCCCACTTCCTCTTCTTTTTCAGAGGAGGAAATGGAGGCCCAGAGAGGTGAAGCAAATTGTCCAAAAGTTGTATGTCAGTTTACAGCAGAAATGGGTTAGAAAGTCAACCTTTTGACTCTCCAAAGCCTTTCCAACCTATCACTTTGTTCTTCCCAGGCCAGTGAGCAAGAGCCTCTCCTCCTCCCACATGTTCTCAGGCCGGGTTGTTCCCCCCCCCCGTTCCCTGGTCCCCAGGGACTTACCTGATGGCCCCAAACACACTCAACCTATTAGTCTCAGGAATGCGCAAATGCATTCATGGAATGGTGCCCCGTGTGCCATGAGTCTCAGATGAGTGGGGAGAAAACCATCAGTTAAATAAATCAGCCCTTGGCTTGGGAAATATCTCCACAGACACCGGAGAGCCCGGAAAGGAGCTTGAAGGGCTTTGCTGTGATACTCCCCAGGCCCTCCACCCTTAGGCACCTGCCTTCCTCTCTGGAGTCATTTTGGACACTTTCCCCTCTCACTTCTTTGCTTGGGTCCCCTGGACCTACATGCAGTGCCCTAAGCTGTGCCTTCCCCAGCACTGCCGTGACCCCGACTTTGCACACATTGCTTTCTTACCCCACTTCCACTGAAGAACATGGGTCCGTCTCTGCAGTCACCTGTTCACTTGTAAGTGTTCCCTGCTCAGAGGACACCGTCCTGGCAGACAAGGATAATAGTCAATCAGTGGGAGTTGGATGAATGGCAAACCTGTGTCTTTGGGTGTTTTTTCTTCCCACATTGTCTCCTCCCTTCCCAACTATGCCAGGAGGGTCTGCCCTGGCCGTGAGTGGATCCGAGCTGTTGATAACCCTCTCCAGTCCCCCACCCCCACCCCAAGGAAGCGAATTCCTTGGCCTCTCAGAGTCTCCCTTTCTTCTCTGTCCCAGTGGGGCTCGTTCCTGGGTGCTTGCTGGAGGCCCTGACCATTGCTCTGAGTTTAGTGCTCAGAATGGAGTTGAAGTCTCTGAGCTTCTGGAGGAAGAGCTTCTGGGTTTCTCCTTGGGCCTCTAGGCTCAGGCAGGCTGGGCTGCGCTTGACGTGAGCAAACGCCATCCCCATGAGATGGTACCTGTGGCAGGGCCTGCCTCTGCCTTCCTCCTTCCCAGCTCACAAAGGACCTTTCTCCAAAGTCCCTCTGTGGACCCTTTCTCACTAGGTGTGTTTATGGTTAACATTCTTATAAAAATAGCCTCAAGCTGGAAAGAAGAAAATAAAATAACTCTGTCTTCCCTCTGCCATAAACAACCAAGTAACAGGGTGGAAGCCGCCGGCTCAGTCCCTGGTGCCGCTGCTCAGGGACATGCTTGTTCCTGTCCCTCTCCCGAACTGCCCCAACGCCTCTCATTCTGTTTCTGAAGTCATGTGCCATTATTTTATCAACTGATTGATTGCTCTGACCCTTTGACGTCACTGATACTCATCCTTGTGGTTTGGGCTAGTGATTATTCCAAACTCCTGACCTTCCTGTCATATTCTGGATCATTCTTGAAAATGTGACACATCCCCAGGTCTCCTCTGCCTACCAAACCTCTCCAGGTCTTCACTCAGAAAGTGATTACACACACAGCTCATTGAAATGATGATAATGAAAAACACCTTGCCATTCCCAAGCATGTAGGCATACAACTGTGTCTTTTGTTAACATCCAGTTAATAGCAAGCAGTAATTGGCTATGGATTTGCTTTCTCAAAGGTCCTAACTTCTTTTCTTTAAGCGGGTTGAGTATGCAGATCTGTTTCAAGAGGAGCAAAGCCAGAATCTCTAGATTGGAAGGAGCACATATGTATGTGAGCCCCACAGTAATCCAAGCCTGTTAGAACACTCATTGTTCCATCACGAATTGATCTGAAGGTTTATTTTTTTAAAAAGAAAGCCAGAAATCCAATGAAGGAGTTCAAATTGCAACTAAAGCCATGGATTTTTTAAAAAATTTATGAAACTGTTAAAACTGGAATGAGGCAGAGTATCCAACAGACGCCTAACTCACTGTATAGATATTCCATCCAGTTCCATCCCTGATGGGAGCAATCGGAAGGCGCTCCCCATTCTCCTGCCTCTGACAGTCCAGGCACCAGCAGGATACTTTCTAGCCACATGCAGAAAGGATCGAGTTTAACTTCGGAGATGGACTTCATGCCCTGGCAAAGTCTGGAAAAATGGTCTCTTTCAGACTTTCTTGTTTTAAGTCATCTTGGTGGGCCTACACATGGAATTATGGGCCTGGCAGCTTGGGGGTGTAGCTTTGGCACTTCCATGAGCTCACTGTGTGACCCTAGCCAAGTCCCTCCCCTTCCCTTTTGGGTCTGCTCACTTGGAAAATGAGGCAGTAGGCTATCTGGTGCACAGGGCCTTTGGCAGGCAGAATATTGGCCCCCAAAGATGTGGATGGCCTTATTCCTGGAACCTGTGAGTATGCTAGCTTACATGGCAAAGAGACTTTGAAGATGTAAGTGAATAACCTTGAGACGGGGAGCTTATCTTGGAATATCAGGTGGACAGAGCAGGTTAGACCTGAAGCCTTGATTTAGCCCATGCTTTCTATGCATCTGTGAGAGGGGAGGAAGGTGAGAACCACATTAGGCTTTGCTTCCCGGCTTTGGTGGACACAGCTGAGTGGTGGGGGGGAAGACAAAGGCTAGGCTACAGGGGCTGTTCCTATGGAATTAGCATGATGCCGTGAGGACAGGAATTTTCCTGAATAGGCGGCTCTCTCTTACTACAGGGGCTTGAAAGGGCATGCTCCCCTACCCACCAAAAGTATCTCCCCATCTCCTTTCCTACCTAGACATCCTTTCAGGAGTTGTGGGGAGCAAGGCAGAAGGCAAATATGACCTCTGCAGGGACAAGAAATCTCTCGCAGGTGGGTGAGGAAGTGGGGTATAGAGAGGGTCTGGAAAAGCTGGGGTGTGGGAGGCAGGCCATAGAAAGCATGGAGTGCATATCCAGCCTGAATTCACTGACAGAGTCAGGAGGAGTCAAGACAGGACACAGAAGAGTGGGAGGGACATGGAGGTCCCCTTATGGCTTTCAGGCCTGGGCAGTGTTCTCTGCCTGCCCTCACGCCACATGCCTACCATCCAGGGCAATGTTGTTCAGACTGTGGGCTGTGACTGGTTCGTGGGTTGTGAAGTCATATACAAGGTTTCAATCAATAGTTTTTAAAGATTTAGAATAGAATAGTATACAGAATGTATGTGTTTTGTAAAGGTAAGTGTAGTGGCTTAAGACTTTATATACATCATCTGTGGTTTTTGGCCTGGCGGCCTGACCCTTTCCTAAGCCCTCAGGTGCGGCAGACACACCTGAGCGTGGGGGAAGGCAAGAACTACTCAGCCATTTCCACAAGACCAGCTTTTAATGGGACTGTGATTGGAAGCACAAATAAATAAATGCCAGAGAGAATGGAAAACCAAACCAAACCTCAGAATATCAAAACCAAAATTCAGAAAACAAAACCAAACCCAAACAGATCTGACAGACTAACAGAAAAAGTCCCCCAGCGAAACAATCAGACTGTACAAGCTGTGTCACAGGGAGACCGCGGAGGAGACATCCAGGCAGCCGTGCCCCGACCCCGGCGCTGGGATGGGGCGGGGCTGGCCCCGGTCACTCTGCAGGCCACTGGGGGGAGGAGGGCTATGGGCAGGTTCAGAACCTTCACAAACTACACGAGGACGGACGTGGTCAGAGTTATGCGGTTTCCCTCGATTGTGCAGCTGTGGTTCCAGCGTGGCCTCGTGGTGACTTTGGGTCTGGACCCTGGTCGCGCTGCATGGCTGCAGTGTGGCTGCTGGGAACCGCGTGGAGGAGAGTCATGTACAGAGACAGAGGTGGAGGTGGCGCCATGAGAGGTCTGAGCATGCAGGTGCTTTATACATCTGGCAGTGAAATGTGATGGCAGAGTGTTCTCGGACAGTTCCAGAGTATGACTCATTTCTCCTAAGAGGGACGTGCGGCGGGGCTGGATCACGTGTTGCATCAGCCGTGGCCGCAGCGAGGTTTTGGCCGGTAGTTTGCTAGGCGTGCACAGGGGCTCTTCTTTCTGTGGTCAGGGGCCGTCCCACCTGAGCCTGCTGTCCCCTGTCCAGGGTCTTGGGCCTCAAGGTCTGTGTGGGGGGAGCTGGGCGGTCCACGGGCTGTCAGCAGGCAATCTCCTCCAAGGTCCCCAGGGCTGTCTGCAGGGGCACATTCACAGTGTGGCTGATGGTTTCAGAGTGGTTTGCCATCGTGTCACAAGTGCTCTGGAGGGAAGGGAAGGTGGCTGTTGATACTCATTCAGTAGATACTCATCACGATGCCACAGAGGCCTGCCTGTGACCTGGGAGCCCTGCTTCTCGTTTGTGGGGCCCCCCAGGACTGCTCCTGCCCCAGACACCTCATGTGTGGCTTGCCATCTTGGGGCAGAAGGCTGACAGGCGTTACTGCCTTCAAAATCCTCATCATTGCCCCCCGAAGTGCCCCCAGGGAGGGAGGGGGCTCCCTGGTGATGGGGTTTAGCTGGTCTGACCCTCTCTTCTAGAGGTATTCCCAATATGCCACCTGAGGCTACCTCTGAGGGGTCTCTAGTGTTGAGGCTGGACAGCCCATCTGTCCTCATCCTTGGGGGCCCCCTTGGGGGCTTACCTGGGGTAGAGGAGGTACAACCTGGGGCTAGGTTTGGGGCAGGGTGTACCAACTGCTGAGGCCAAGCAGGAAGGACAGAGGCTCCTGACAGCCAGAACCAGAGCTGGTCACAGCTGCCCGAAGGACCTTTGGGGTTAGGCTGTCCCCAGGGGAAAGGCACCCTGAGCAGGGTGGGGCTGAGACAGCCTCAAGTCTTCCCTGTGACTTCCAGGCTGGGGAGGGCTGGGGGCTGGGAGGGATGGGAGCAGAGAGATCAGCCAGGAGGCTGTGCCAAGAATTTGGGGTAGATGTGATAAGGTCAGTGCTGGGGGAGGGAAGGGGGTGAGGGGTAGGCCATGAGACAATCTGGGCAGGAGGGAAGGAGGGTTGGGGGGAGCCTCTACTTGCCGATCACTTACAAAAACCCAGCAACGCCGACTGCTTTACTGCATTGTCTCGCCTAACCCAAATGACAATCCCAAGGTCCCTGTGATGAGGCCGATGCCCAGGATGTCAGTAACTTGATCCCAGGCAGAGAGCTAGGAAGCAGGGACCCGGGATCCACCCAGGTCAGCTGAGTCCGCAGCCTGGGCCCCTTTCACACTGCCCTTCTTTCAGCAGAAGCTGTCTGCTGCTCAACAGAGGCTGAGGGGGCCCAGAGGACCAAAGCAAGGTTTATAGCCTGGGAGATGAGTGGCGAAGTAGTGACTGGGACAGCAGTGGGAGCCTGTTTGGAGGGAAGGGGCTGGGACCCACTCTGGATGTGTTGACTGTACGGGGCAGTGGCCGCTTAAAGAGCACGGTTTCCTAGGGCTGGAAATGCTGGTGTGGGGAAAGTCAGTGACCCCTGCTCCAGTCAGCGAGATGTGAGCCCAGGAGGGCCTGACTTTGGGAAGGAGAATGGAAGGCCGTAAGAGGCGCTGCCTCTGTCCTGGCAGAGTAAGACGGTGGTTAGGGGAGCTCTGTGTCCAGCTGGTGACACTCACCAGCTGGGCCTCAGTGGCCTCAAATACAAAAGGAGATTAAGAATAGGCCTTTCTCCAGGCTGACTGTACAGGGATGACTATGCAGCTGAAATGACATGGAACTCTTAAAGTACATAGCACACTGCCTGACACAGACACGACACACAACAGTGAGAGGTTGTAACAGGCATTATTGCTGCTCCCGGCCTCATGGGGCCTCACACTCCATGGCCCTTCAAATGGATAGGGTACCAGAGGTGATGCCCTGCTTGCATTTTGCCACCCTGGGTAATAAGGGAGAAGATTACACAGAGTCTCTTTGGTTCCCCCAAGGCATGCCATGAGGAGAGCAGCCCTCTGGCCTGGGAGAAGCTGAACGGGCCCAGGCAGGTCCTGCCCCAAGAAGCCTCTCCTGTGTCCGTTGCATCCTTACTATTGGGCTTTGGGCTCCGAGAGAGGCCTGAGGCTGAGCAGGAATGTCCTTGCATGTGGGAGCTGACAGGGCGTTGCTGGCCAAGGAAAGGTGAATGGCCAAGTATGGCCTTCTTGCCCTGGCCCCAGTATCCAGTCTCATTCTGCTCATAAAAGCCAGAGGAACAAACCAACGTATTGCGCATGAGCCGTGCTTACCACGTTCTCAGGGCTCCCTTCCTCCTCTTCTTTGCCCAGCAGATCTAATAGCTTCTCTTTGATCAGCTGCAAGGAAATCAGGCAGGGGTGGGTCAGACTGTGGAAATGGTGCAAAGATTGAGAGACCTGCCTCCACTCAGCTCAGCTGGGGAAGACAGAGGCAGCAGCTGTCCAGGCTAAGGCTGGAGGGTCTTGGCAGGAGCCCAGCCAGCAGCCAGCTCGAGGAGCCCCTACCCCAACTTCTTGCTGAAATGGGATTTTGGTGCAGTAGCTCGAGCTTGGAAGAGGCCCCCGGAGCACCCTGTCTTATAGTGTGGACTACTTTCTCTTGTGGATGGAGGGTGTGGATAAGCACCACGTGCGGGTGTGACCAGCTTCCTGTCTGTCTGCAGGAGCAGCCTAGGAGCCCCCTTCTGAGGCTGGGCCTGGGGAACAAGATTACTAAGCACTTCCTAGGCCTGGCAGCTCCACAGTGCACAAGACCAGGGCACACCTGGGTTCATAACATTCTATTCTTTTCAATAAAGGGCAGTTATTAAATATGTTATCTGATGTGATTCAATTTCCATAACCTTGTACAGCTTTTCATAAAAATTAATAAACGCAGAATAAAATCTGGCCACGGGAGCGAATTCAGGTTTGGGGAACAAGGTCACCAGGCTGAGAGGCAGAGTGCGGCCCCGCAGAGGACCCTGGTCCTGGCAGTGGCAGCTTCCCACGGCGATTCCCAGGGGCCTCGGGCCACTGCCAGCCCTCTCCGGGAGGAGGGCAGCTGCTCCGCAGCTCAGTTGGCTGGGCCACGCTGGGTGTCCTGGGGATTTCGTGGGCTGGGCACGCCTCAGGGACTCTGGAGTCACCAGAGCCAGCCTGGGTCTAGGGGATACTGAGAAGCCCCCGGAATTCTTGATGCTGGATGCCTCCGTGCATTGTTTGACAAGCTTTCAGAAGCTCTGTTCCTGCTCCCTTGAGGGAGACCTCTCGGACCATTAGAGCCTGAGGGGTGGCTGTGCTCCTGTTCTCTTTCCTTAGGACTGATGGGGATGGCCTGGAAATGCCCCTCCCCTAGACCTGCCTGACCACTGAAGGCACTGTTCAGGTGAGGGGTATGTCCTCATACCCAGAGGACAGGGGTATGTGTGTGTGAATGTACTGTGTATGTGCACATGTGAGTGTGGGAGCCGGGTGTGTGTGCATGTGGGGTGTGCGTGTGTTCGTGAGTAGTGCACATGAATGCAGTGAAAGTTGTGGTCTGTGTGTGAGTGGATGTGGTGTATGTATGTGAACAGTGCGTGGTGTGTGTGTGGCATAAGTGTGTGTGAGTGGGTGAGGTGTGTGCATGTGTTAGAAGCCCCCACGTCTGTGGGAGGGGCTCAGAGCTGGCCTGGGTAGTCTCTTCTCAAGACCCCCAGCCTTCTCTAGGAGCTCTCTGAGGACAGCACTGTGGCTTCCATCTCCCCATGCCTAGGAGGTGGTGCTGGACACCATCCACAGACAGGGAGGAGAAGGCAGCCCCTGCAGGGACGAGGGCGTCCTGTTCCCAGCTGTGCTTCTGCACATCAGGGCAGGATTAGGGCACCAGCGTATGGTCATTTCCCCATGAGCAACCCGACTCTTACCTCATAAATATAATCAAAGAGCTCTAGTATTGTTAGGATACTAGCACCAATAAACAATCCCATCTGACCACCAATATCACCTGGAGAGAGAGAGAAAAGACCGAAGATTTGGCTTTGCTCACATAGCTTCCAGAAAGGGCTGAACAGACTGAGAACACAGACCCTGGGACTTCCACATGTTCCTTCTCCACAGGGAGCCGGGGCCTCCTAACTGGAAGGCCAGGCCTCTGATAGCAGCCGATGGTGTTCAGCGCCCAGTGGGAGGGGCGTAGAACAGATCTCATAGGCCAGTGGGCTTGTTCAGGTACAATCGGAACCACACTAAGTGGGCCCAGCTTTAGCTCTGGGCTGGAAGTAGAGACAAGATGTGTCTGGTCCTTGCCCAGGGCAAAGGCACAGTCTAGCCCAACACACATGTGGCAGATGCCCTGGGTGGGGGTCTCAGAGGCAATGGCACAAGAGACCCCTCTATCCGCCCAATTCATGACCTGACAGGGTCACCCTGGAGTACCTCTCACCCTTGGGACAAGGTCATAGGAAGCATCCCCCATCTTCCCCTCCTGAAGGTGAATGTTCAATCTGGTTTCTTCCTAGAACAGAGGTTCTTGCCTTGGAGTGTATGGGTCCCCCTGACCAAAGTCTTTCTAGACTGGTCTCCAGATGCCCCCTGCATCAGATTCCTGGGAGACTTGTGTTCAGTGTAGATGCCTGGACCTACCCTCTGCCTATAAAATCACAATCTCCGGGACTGGAGTCTCAAGGTCAAGATGTCAAAGTTCCCAGGTGGTTCTCTGACCCACCAGAGTCTGAGGATTTCACCGCTGTGGGAGCTTCAGGTGGTTGGAGACCCTGGGAATTCAAATGTGCTTGTGGTGGGAGAGCCCTTTTCGAGAAGCTCCTTGAGATTCTCCAAGGGGTTCTGATCCCCCACAGCCCAAGACACTTCACCCCAGGGCCAGAGGGTAGAGCAGGAGGCTACAAGGCCCCGAGGCTGGAGAGTGGCCACCAGTTTGCTGAGTGGCTTTGCCAAGCCCTGACCTTCTCAGTAGCTTTGTCTCCAAAGGTCACTCGGTGGTGGAATTGGTTGGGAGAAGTTTGGAGGAGGCAACTGTGAAATCCTTTCCTGCTGTCAGCAACTGGGCTGGGCTGGGGAGAGTGCTGGGAATTGGGGGTGCCCTAGGGGAGGTGCACAGTTCTTCCGATGATTCCAGGCTGACCTTTTGGTCTGAGAACTTCCTGATGGGTGCGTCTACCCTCTCCTTCTCCAGCTATGGCTGGGAGGAGCCCAACAATCACATCCCCAGATGTGTCTCTCTAATGTCCTTAACAGGGACGTTTCTGGGGAGCGTGTGCTTATGTGTGTACATGTGAGGTGTGTGTTTGTATGTGCATGCAGTGTGGGGGATGGGCCAGGGTTGTGTAGAAGTGGGCGTTATGCCTGGCTGTTGATGGCCTCAAGTAGGTGGCCATCTATGTTGAGGGGAGGTACCCTGGGTGTGTCTGAGTGTGTGAGTGTGGCTTTGTGGAGTTGGGCATATTGTGTCTGAGTGTCTGGAACATGTGTGAGTATGAGTAGGTATGAGTATGTGCATGGGCGGGCATATGTAGGGAGTGTGTGAGAGTGTAGGCACATGGTGTTTGTGTAGACCTATGCCGTCGCATGGCTTGCACGTGGGTGCATGCAGGTGTGCACTCATGTGTGGCTCATCCTGGTGTGTGTACACACCAGGCCGGGGTGGGCGGTGCAGTGCGCAGTGTGGCCGCGCGTGCTGCAGGCACTGAGGTGGGGTGGGCTGCCAGGCAATGAGCGCAGGCCTGAGTGGGCCTGAGGGCTGAGGGTTCCAAGTGGAACATGCTGTCATCACAGGAGGTACAGAGGGCAGCGTGATTTTCTCAGATGCAGAGATGAGCAGTCCTCCTGAAGATTCAGAGCTCAGGCTCTCATTGCGGCATGCGTGCGTGTGTGTGTGCGTGTGTGTGTGTGCGCATGCGTGTGTGCCTGAGAGAGAGAGACAGAAAAGGAGAGGGGACAACTCTGAGCCTCTGGTGGGGGCAGGAGGGGAGGAGGCATGTCCTGAGTCTTCACAGGAAATAAAGGCGACAGGGGCAGGGTGAGGGCCTACTTCTCCACACAACACCTTACGGCAGGCCCAGGGCATGAATCTCTCAGGTCAGTCCCTTTGGCCACAACAGCTTCTGAGGCCCCAGTGACAGCCACCTTAACACCAGCTGGGCCCTGCGTCCCTGGCATGGTGACTATCCAGGTGGCGGAAACTACTATTTATATACCTTCTGCAGCCTGGGGCTTTATCATGATTAACAAGCCCCCACGTCTGTGGGAGGGGCTCAGAGCTGGCCTGGGTAGTCTCTTCTCAAGACCCCCAGCCTTCTCTAGGAGCTCTCTGAGGACAGCACTGTGGCTTCCATCTCCCCATGCCTAGGAGGTGGTGCTGGACACCATCCACAGACAGGGAGGAGAAGGCAGCCCCTGCGGGGACGAGGGCGTCCTGTTCCCAGCTGTGCTTCTGCACATCAGGGCAGGATTAGGGCACCAGCGTATGGTCATTTCCCCATGAGCAACCCGACTCTTACCTCATAAATATAATCAAAGAGCTCTAGTATTGTTAGGATACTAGCACCAATAAACAATCCCATCTGACCACCAATATCACCTGGAGAGAGAGAGAAAAGACCGAAGATTTGGCTTTGCTCACATAGCTTCCAGAAAGGGCTGAACAGACTGAGAACACAGACCCTGGGACTTCCACATGTTCCTTCTCCACAGGGAGCCGGGGCCTCCTAACTGGAAGGCCAGGCCTCTGATAGCAGCCGATGGTGTTCAGCGCCCAGTGGGAGGGGCGTAGAACAGATCTCATAGGCCAGTGGGCTTGTTCAGGTACAATCGGAACCACACTAAGTGGGCCCAGCTTTAGCTCTGGGCTGGAAATAGAGACAAGATGTGTCTGGTCCTTGCCCAGGGCAAAGGCACAGTCTAGCCCAACACACATGTGGCAGATGCCCTGGGTGGGGGTCTCAGAGGCAATGGCACAAGAGACCCCTCTATCCGCCCAATTCATGACCTGACAGGGTCACCCTGGAGTACCTCTCACCCTTGGGACAAGGTCATAGGAAGCATCCCCCATCTTCCCCTCCTGAAGGTGAATGTTCAATCTGGTTTCTTCCTAGAACAGAGGTTCTTGCCTTGGAGTGTATGGGTCCCCCTGACCAAAGTCTTTCTAGACTGGTCTCCAGATGCCCCCTGCATCAGATTCCTGGGAGACTTGTGTTCAGTGTAGATGCCTGGACCTACCCTCTGCCTATAAAATCACAATCTCCGGGACTGGAGTCTCAAGGTCAAGATGTCAAAGTTCCCAGGTGGTTCTCTGACCCACCAGAGTCTGAGGATTTCACTGCTGTGGGAGCTTCAGGTGGTTGGAGACCCTGGGAATTCAAATGTGCTTGTGGTGGGAGAGCCCTTTTCGAGAAGCTCCTTGAGATTCTCCAAGGGGTTCTGATCCCCCACAGCCCAAGACACTTCACCCCAGGGCCAGAGGGTAGAGCAGGAGGCTACAAGGCCCCGAGGCCGGAGAGTGGCCACCAGTTTGCTGAGTGGCTTTGCCAAGCCCTGACCTTCTCAGTAGCTTTGTCTCCAAAGGTCACTCGGTGGTGGAATTGGTTGGGAGAAGTTTGGAGGAGGCAACTGTGAAATCCTTTCCTGCTGTCAGCAACTGGGCTGGGCTGGGGAGAGTGCTGGGAATTGGGGGTGCCCTAGGGGAGGTGCACAGTTCTTCCGATGATTCCAGGCTGACCTCTTGGTCTGAGAACTTCCTGATGGGTGCGTCTACCCTCTCCTTCTCCAGCTATGGCTGGGAGGAGCCCAACAATCACATCCCCAGATGTGTCTCTCTAATGTCCTTAACAGGGACGTTTCTGGGGAGCGTGTGCTTATGTGTGTACATGTGAGGTGTGTGTTTGTATGTGCATGCAGTGTGGGGGATGGGCCAGGGTTGTGTAGAAGTGGGCGTTATGCCTGGCTGTTGATGGCCTCAAGTAGGTGGCCATCTATGTTGAGGGGAGGTACCCTGGGTGTGTCTGAGTGTGTGAGTGTGGCTTTGTGGAGTTGGGCATATTGTGTCTGAGTGTCTGGAACATGTGTGAGTATGAGTAGGTATGAGTATGTGCATGGGCGGGCATATGTAGGGAGTGTGTGAGAGTGTAGGCACATGGTGTTTGTGTAGACCTATGCCGTCGTATGGCTTGCACGTGGGTGCATGCAGGTGTGCACTCATGTGTGGCTCATCCTGGTGTGTGTACACACCAGGCCGGGGTGGGCGGTGCAGTGCGCAGTGTGGCCGCGCGTGCTGCAGGCACTGAGGTGGGGTGGGCTGCCAGGCAATGAGCGCAGGCCTGAGTGGGCCTGAGGGCTGAGGGTTCCAAGTGGAACATGCTGTCATCACAGGAGGTACAGAGGGCAGCGTGATTTTCTCAGATGCAGAGATGAGCAGTCCTCCTGAAGATTCAGAGCTCAGGCTCTCATTGCGGCATGCGTGCGTGTGTGTGTGCGTGTGTGTGTGTGCGCGTGCGTATGTGCCTGAGAGAGAGAGACAGAAAAGGAGAGGGGACAACTCTGAGCCTCTGGTGGGGGCAGGAGGGGAGGAGGCATGTCCTGAGTCTTCACAGGAAATAAAGGCGACAGGGGCAGGGTGAGGGCCTACTTCTCCACACACCACCTTACGGCAGGCCCAGGGCATGAATCTCTCAGGTCAGTCCCTTTGGCCACAACAGCTTCTGAGGCCCCAGTGACAGCCACCTTAACACCAGCTGGGCCCTGCGTCCCTGGCATGGTGACTATCCAGGTGGCGGAAACTACTATTTATATACCTTCTGCAGCCTGGGGCTTTATCATGATTAACCATCACAACAATCTTATAAAGTGGGTTTTATTAGACTCACTTTACAGATGAGGGACCTGAGAGCTGGTGAGCTGAGGCCACCTGCCCATGTGCCCACAGCTGGCACGTAGCAGCCTTTGCTGCTTTTACCTCTTCACTTGCAGGTAGAAGGTACCCACCCCCAGCCCCCATTCCCCAGGATGCCACTGTCCCCTGGCCCAGCTCACAGGAACAACAGCTAATTTTCCTCATGGGGACAGGCATCGTGTCCTTTCTTGAGGCTGTGTAGGAGTTGGGAGAAGGGCGCAAGGGTAGGTCTTCTAACTGTCCACTCTCAGCTGTCTTGTGAGTTTTGTGCTGGGCTGGGGCGGGGTTGAAATGAACTCCCTGCATCCTTTATGTGCCAGTGGGGCCAGGGGAGCAAATGTGAACTTGTGTGGCGTAGCAACCAGGTCTGCAGGTAGCCGGGCTGTGTGGCCCTTCGTTTGTGTCTGATGGAGGACTGTCAGTCCAGGGGGCACATCTGGCCTTCTCAGTGCAGCTGTATTGCTTTCCGGGGGGTGGGGCACCACTGGGGGTTGCCTCAGGACCACCCAAGGCTCAGCCTTCCCTGCTGACAGCTCCTTCTCTGGCCAAGGCCCCAGGGCTCTCACTCTCACTTCTGAGGGCAGAAGACTGCGAAAATCAAGAAACAGCTCTGGAATGAGAGACATTTCAGCTCATCTGCCTCATTGTGTCCTTTGGGAAACTGGGACCTAGATTGGGGTGTGAACTGGGCTGCAAACCTCCTCCACACTGGGGTCCTCCCCATTCTGGGGCAGCAGTAATGCCAGGAAAGAGGGAGTCACTAGCAAATGCAAAGGCTAGACCCCTCAGAAGGGCTTCTGTATCTGCGTGTCTCTCTGCCTGCCTGTCCACCCCCCCGCCCCCATCCTTTCCACCCTCTCCGAGATGTGGAAACTTGTGTAGTAGATACCCTGACTTACCAAGTAAGGCAGCAACTTCATATGCCTTCTTCTGTTCAATTGTCTCATAATTGAGAGCTTCAAAAAATATATCCAGAACAAGGATGTTCTCTCTGCAGAGGGAATATTCAGCACCATACATGGTTAGAGCCACCTGGATCCACAGAGGTCATCCGACACAGCTTTCCCATGGACAGATGGAGAAGTGGAGGCCCAGGGAAGTGGAGCAGCTCACCCCAAGTTAGAGCTGCTTAGTGCCAGAACTGGGACTTGAAACCAAGTCCTGACTCCCAGCCCAGTGCTCTTTGTAAGACTGGAGCATGCATCAACTGTCCCCCTTCGGCCCTTATTTCTACTGCCTCCCTGTGTCACGCGTCCTGCCTGGCCTCCTGGTCTCTGGGTCCTTATGTGTCGGTGAGCTGAGGACTCTGACAAAGCTTGCCTGGCCCGGCCCAGCCAACCTCCTGGGCAGCCCCTGCCCACCCCTGAGAGCCCCCCAAGTTCCTGTTTGGATATATGACCAGCTTCTCCTCATGGGAGGCCTCGCATGGCCACATCAGCTGCTAGGGCCAGGGAGGGTTTTTAGGGAGCACACCTTTATTTGGCTGGGGGAATCCCATTTGCTCCTTGAGGCCTGCATGTTAGTGAGACACATGCTGGCAGGGAAAGCCATTACTGCCGGCTGACTCTCTCTTAAGCAGCAGGGCCTGATACCTCCTGCCACTCCCCATCCCTTCAGCCTTGCTCATGGTGTGCCTCATTGGCAACCCACTGAGCAGAAGCCATCCCAGGCTGGGCTCTGGTGACTGTGATGGCGGGAGGGAGTGGCCAGAGGGGAGCAGAGCGGGTCCCTCCACACACAGCCCACTGAGGCGCCTGCCCACGTGTCGCCGTCTCTTACCTGGTTCGTGGCAGCTGCTTCCTACCAGGCTCCCTTCCTCTCATTTGGCCCCCTCTGTCCTCTATACTGAAGGATCCTCTAAGCAGCTACACTAACGTAAATTAGATAAGACTGCAACCCGGTTCCTCAGTCACACAGGAGCCATTTTAAATACTCAATAGCCACATGTGGCTAGTGGCTACCATGTTGGACGTCACAGGTAGAGAACATTTCCATCGTTGCAGAAAGTTCAGTGGTTGAAAATACAGATTTGACCCTACCACTCACTTGCTTGAAGCTCTTCAGCATTCCGTTTTCTCTTAGGATACAACCTGCTCCCTACACACACACATATGCACACACACGCACCCACCCCAACTCAGCCTGCAAGACCCGCTTGTTCTGACACATCCTCCTGGCCCAGCTCATCCTGCCCTGATTCTTCTAAGCTGTTGCCTGAGACCCCCTCTTCTCCATGTCTTTCATTCATTTATTCTGTTAAAAAGTATTTTTTGAGCACCAACTCTGTGTCTACCCTCCACAGCAAAGCACATAAAAGAAAGGTTCCTACCCTCAGGGACCTTTCACTCCAGTGGGGCAGGCAGGTAATAAACAAGGAAACACACACAAATATGCAGTTACACACTTTGATGAATGTTATAAAGGAAAGTATAAGAGTGCTTTGAGAAAAAAATAGTAAGGAGGGGCTAATTTAACTGTCCAAAGAGATGACATTTAAATGGAGACCTGCACAGTGAAGAATCAGGTAGGTGATGAGTGAGAGGAAAAGCATTCCAGGCAGAGGGAACAGAATGTGCAAAGTAGGCTTGTAAAACTCCTATACATCCTTAAAAAAAAAATCCCTGGATGGCATCCCCATGCAAGGTGCAGCCAACCACCTCTCTTACTGCCTGTATCAGCTTCTATAGCATCCAGTTGTGTGCTTGTTGGCCCACAAGCCTACAAGCTCTTTAAAGGCAGGGGGTGCATCTTGATCATCTTGGTCTGTTTGTTGAGAGCTGAGCACAGAACTTGGCACACAGCAGGTGACCAGTTAATGTCTGCTAAATGATACTGCTTTCCTTTGCCCTCTTCCTTGATTGCCCCCAATTTCCTCCTGATCAATTCCCACTCCCCCTCCTGCCAACCATGCCCACTTAGCTTACGAGATATATTTTTCTGATTTGTTAAATTTCTTCTCCAGGTACTTGGCGGACGTCTTGCTGGGGATCTTCACCATGGAGAGCTCTTTGTTGTACCGTGTCAGGTTGCAGGGCGTCCTGCAGAGACAGTAATTACTGTCCTTTTCTGCCAGCAGACCTGGAAGGGAGATGAAGGGGGGACTTCAGGTGTGAGGACTGGGTCCTTGGGGCTCAGAGTAGATGAGGAGTGTGCTGGGAGGAGGTGCCGCCCTGGGTAGTAAGGGTTGGGGAGCTGGGGACAAAAGGAGCTGGGCTTTTGTTACAGGCTGGTGAGGGTGTGAGCTCTCAGAGCAAAGTGCCTGCTCTTTCCAGGCTTCTCTTGGTCTGGTTTTCCTTCTGTCTCTTCTACTGTTAGGTCGCCCTTTAAAAATTGTTGAAAAGGTGCTGCTTTGGGAGAATGGGCTCCAGGGGAGTCCTGCCCCCCTCAGCTCCCCTCTGCTCCTAGTGTCAGTGTTCTCACCCACACAGTGGGTGGCCCATCAAAGGCAGCCCATCAAAGGGCGCCCTGGAAAACCCTTTACCTGAAACCCCCGGGCTCCGCAGTGTTTCCTCTGGGGCTCGCTCATGGCCAAAGCCCGCCTCCTCCGCCTGCTGGGTTAGGACGCAGGCAAAGATCCCCGATTCCTTACCCTAGAGGCAACCTCCCCTTCTGGAACACCTCTCGCCTTCTCTTTTCCTCTTGTCTAAGACATCATTTTCTTCTCTCCCTCTTCCCTCTGACCATCTCAGAGTTTCCTGTTACCCATGGTTTTGTTGATTCTTTACTCCAAACAGAGACTGAGTCTTTGCCATCAGCATCACCCGCTCCTCTCAGCCAGACCTCCCACCTCCTCCTGGCCGCAGCTCATGTGTGATCCAGCCCTGCCTCACTTAGTTCCAGCAAGTGCAGCTGCTGAACAAACTTGGGTCCATATCATTTAAACTCTTTCTGCTTGTCTTGATTAGAAAATATTTCCCAGGTGCAGAGAGGCCGGCACATGGGGCGTGGTCTAGTTTTGAGCTTGTAGCTTGTTTGGGAGATCTCCCTCATCCCAAGTTTTCTAGTGGGGCAGAGACCAGGAGTTATTCCAACCAATACCCAGCAGGAGGAGGGGGAGTGCCCGTGCCTTCCGTTTTCACACGTGGAATGCACACTAGCCTACGTCTCTCTCCCTTCCCCCATCTCCGTGGGGCGCAGGTGCAAAGACAAGTCTGCTTTGGAATAACCTTGGCCTCCCCATGCGGACCACCAGTGTGTGCGGATGGATTTGCCAAACTTCTTTGGTGCCCACTGTCCATCTCTCCACCCCTGGCCTCCCTCTCCCTTCCTCAGAGCTCTGCATTCCCCCTGAAATGCACTCCTTTATCTGCACCTGTGTACCTCCTTCTCCCCGGCTGCCCTGCCCAGTCCTCACTCACTGGCATCAGCTCCCTCCTGCACCCTCTCTCTTTCCTCTTTTGCCTTTCCATCTCCTTTTCCATTACCCTTCTCCAGTCCCCGTTCCCCTCCATCTCTCTCCCACACCCAGAGGTCTCCAAGGTCTCCATCACTCCATCTGTCCTCCAGTACTGACCTAGGGCAGGCTCTGCGCACTCCTTGTGTTGCTCAGGGGTACAGAAAGGTGCATCCCCTGCAAAGGAAACAGAGAGAGGTACGCAGGCAGCAGCCCCTCCCCTCCTGGGGCGGGGGAGGGCGGCCAAGCTGGCACAGGGAGGGGAGCAGTCAGAGGGAGCCACTGGTCTGGGCTGCCTGGGGGCAGAGCGGGAGTGGTGTACTCAGAGCCCGAAGACTGTGTTCTGATCTGCTGTGACCCTGGGCAGTTGATAATAGGGCTCCCCTGGCTAACTTCTCCCAGATTTCTGTGCAGGTCCAACCAGCTCAGGTAGGTGAAACTGGGGAGGTGGTGGTAAGCACCTATTAAGTCCTGGATATGCATCATTGCCTATATTCCCCCAAGGTATCTTCTGAAATAGGAAATACTGGATCTCTTTACCTGTGAGAGGCTTGAGGCTTAAGGATTTTGCCTTCCCAGGACACCAAAGCCAGTAGTGATGGATGTGGGCTCTGAATCCAGGTCAGTCTGATCCCTACCTAGGCTAGAGCTCTTTCCACACTGCTGTATGTAAGCAAAGGATGTTTCATAAGTCTCCCCTTTGCTGTGCCCTTAATTCCATGTTAGTGATTGAGATGCCAGTAACAGCGTCATGGATGGAATGATTAAAACCTCTACTGCTTGCTTTTGGTTCAGGTTCTGTGGGGGAGACCTCACTGGCTGGTGACCTAGTCTGAACATCAGGCAGGTAACATTCACTAGTGCCCAGTTCTCTTCTCTGGTCAATCTTTATAGAAATCAGAACCTTTTTTTTCTTTCTTTAACCAGCTGCTAAAGTTAAAGCCCTCCATGATGTCTTTTCCTTACCATTTCCCTAAACACCTTTTTCAAAAGTTGAAGAGCTGATACGGTTCCTTCTTTCCAATAATAACTTGACTGACATATTTCCCTTTTTGCTTTGTCTTCTAGAAAGCTCAGATCAGTAATGCTAAATTTAGGTTACTACAGAAATTACTGATTACTAATGAAATAATTCAGAATTTAGCTATGAAGATGTTCGTTTCAGCATTGGTTATAACAGAAAATAACTGGTAATGAACTAAATGTTTAATACAAGGATTTATTCAAATAAACTTGAAGTATGATATAAGCATGAAATAAACAGCCATTGAAGTGTAACAGCAAAGTTCTTGGCACATAGCAGGTCTCCAGTCACCAGTACTTTAGGCTCCCTCATCCCATGTGCCCACACAACAACCACAGATGTTTGCAGTTTACAAAGCACTTTTATATGTAAGCCTAAATTTTATCCTCATAACAACTAATGATTGTGTATTAAAGATAATGGAGGTAAGAACAGAGAGGTTTAGCAACTCATGCCAGGTCACGCAGCAGGTATGCCTCCATCCCCAGCCCCAATCATCCTTCCTTCCATGCTGCCATACCAAACTCTTGCTGCACAAATCAGCCCTTCCTCTGATCCCGGGCCTCAGCTCTCTTACAGGCCAACCACCGGCAATGAGATGGCTACATGCATTGTTAGCCTGACAACAGATATGTTGGCACATGCACATTTATTTGCTGGCTGATGTGTTTCTTGCCTCATTTGCAAGAGTGCTAGACATTTGGATGCAAGAAGGGAAACATATGGATGAAAACAACAAACATCTGGATGTTTGATGTGTACCACACTGAGATGCAAAAAGTGCAAGCATCCAGATATTTGGACACTGAACTCTCGGAGCTAAGAGCGGCAAACAATTAGCAAACACATTAAGCGCTGGGAGGAACATTTTTCAAACATCTGCATACTTCTGGATACCACGATGTTGCCTTGGTTGCTAGACTGGATGTTTCTATTTGCCCTCTAAATGTTTGGGCACCCAAAACCAGACTTCCCAGAACACCATCCCTTTAGGTGCTTGTGGAGTGGGTGAAGTGTTTCCCATTAGGGTGAGAAATGCAAACGAGGTCCCTGGCCATCCCTGCTGGGTCCCTGAGGCCACCCTTCCCTCAGCACTGACCTGGCATGTGGACCATGCGGCAGTTGCAGTTCTCTACAATGTAACGGGTCTCACAGTCAATCCTACAGGCGGTGATACTATAAACAGGAAAGAAGTCGAGTCCCATCTCTGAGGATCGGCACTCACCCCATGGCGGGGGAAGGTATGTGAGCTGCAAGACAGAAAGGAGGGGCCTGCCATCAGCCTAGAGGTTTAGCCTTCACAGACTCGGTGGCTCATTTGTTCACTTGTTCAATCAACAAGCAAGCATTGAGTATCTACTACATGATAATCTGAACTTCCATTGACCTCACCAGCCTTCAATGTCTGGCTCCCATACTTTTGGAGTTTCCCTGTTTTATCTTTTACAACCTTTGCACGAAAGCTGATCTTCTCAAAGTCTCTTACACATGCCCCAGGTCTTCCCATTTCCACACTTGGCTACCTTGCATCTCTTGGAACAACACAACTAAATTCTACTTTCTTGGCTTGGGACCCTGGGACCCCAGACCTAGACCTTAAGGAGGGTTCAAGATGAAATGGCTTTAGGCATAATCAATGTCATTTATGATCCTTGGTCCTGACTAAAGCGACTCTCCACTATCATGCTTTGGGTGAACTCCTTCAGGGAAAAATGTCACTTAATCTCAGAGTCCCATGACCACAAAATATTCTAATGCCTATTGTATTTGCCTGCTGGGGACGAGGAGGGTGAAGGATGAGGGAAGCTAATGGTTGCTGAGTACTTGTTAATCCCTAAGCTAAATCCTTTATACCTACCTTTTCTTAAAAAAAAATTGAAGATTAAAAAATATAATAAAATGCACACATTTTCAGTACACAGTTCAATAAATTCTAAAAAACATACACACCTATGTAACCACCACTTAAATCAAGACATGGGACATTTTTAATCACCACAGAAAGTCCTTTCCTGTCCCTTTCCAATCAACCCCTCACCAGCCCAGGCGATCACTGTTATGGATTCCACCATCATAAGTTGGCTTTGCCTGGTCTCAGACTTCACAGAGATGAAAACGTGTATGATGTTCTCTTTTGTGTCTGGCTTCTTTTGCTCAACTTAATGTTTTTGAGATTTATCCACACAGTTGTGTGCATCAGTTCATTTCTTTTTATTGAGTAGTTCTCCAGTGTATGAATATTTACAATCTGTTTGTCCATTCACCTGATGATGCACACTTGGACTGTTTCCAGTTTTTGGTAGTTATGAAAAAGCCCCTATTAACATTTATATACAAATAATTTCTTGGACATTTATTTTAATTTCTTTTAAGCACTGGGAGGAATGTTCTCCAAACATCTGCATACTTCTGGACACCACGATGCTGCCTTGGTTACTAGACTGGATGTTTCTACTGCACTCTAAATGTTTGGGCACCCAAAATCAGACCTAAGTTAGGTCTAGGTATAACTTTGTAAGAAACTGTGAAATTTACCTACAGTGGTTGTGCTATTCTAGTCACTCTACATCCTTGCCAAATCTTGCTTTTGTCCATAGTTTTACTTTTAGACATTCTCCTAGGTGTATCATTGCATCTCATTGTTGTTTCTATTTGCGATCTTCTGATGATTGATGATTTTGAGTACAATTTTGTGTGCTTATTGGCCATTCATGTATCACTTTTGCTGATTAAAAAACAAGCTTGCTAATTTTTTACTTTTATTATTGCATTGTAAGAGTTCTCCATATATCCTGGATGCAAGTCCTTTCCCAGATATATATATATATATATTGAGAATATTTTCTCTATACCTCCTATAGTTTGTGGCTTACTTTTTCATTTTCTTAGTGGTATGTATTTTTCCTGCTTTTAAAATCAACTTCATTAAGCTGTAATATACATATAATGAAATGCATCAATTTAAATGTACAATTTAATGAATTTTTACAATTGTATACACTCTTATAGTGACCATCGTAGTCAAATATACAGAACATTTTCATTATCTTCTAAAAGTCCCCTATCTGCAGTCACTTCCGCTCCTCAACCCTGAAGCAATCACTGATCTGCCTTCTGTCATTATAAATTAGTTCTGCCTAGTCTATAATTTTATATAAATAGAAGCATACAATAAGTATTCTTGTGTGTCTGGCTTTTTTCTCTCAGCATAATGTTTTTGAGATTAACTCATATTCTTTCATGTAGCAGTAGTTCTTTCCCTTTTATTGCTGAATTTTACCACTTCCTTTCTAGTCTTTATTCTTTTTCTCTTTTCTTGCTTTGTTGCATAGGCTAGAAACTGTATGTTATGTAATGTTGAAAAAAATCCAAAGAGAGGATATCCTTAACTTGTTTCTGATTTTAGGGAGAAAGGGCTCATTATTTCACTGTTAAATATGTTAGGCATACATTTTTCTTAGATGCCTTTATCAGATTGGGGAAGTTCTCTCCTGTTTCTAGTTTGCTGAGACTTATTTTCAATGGGTGCTGAGTTTTGGCAAATGTGTTTTCTTTTTCTTTTGCAATGATTACATAATTTTTCTTCTCTATTATGTTAATTCAGTGAGTGATACTGATTGATCTACTGATGCTGAACCCACTTTGCATTTCTGGGATAAGCTCCACTGGTCATGATTTATTATCTTCTTTATGTATTGCTACATTTGATATGCTAATGTTTTGTGGAGGATTTCTGCATCTTTATTCATGAGTGATAATTGTATTTAATTTTACTTTTTTTGTAATGCTTTTGTCAGGTTTTGGTATTGGGATTATGCTAACATTGTGAAAAAGGACTTATAAAGTGTTTCCTCTTTCTCTATTTTTTGAGTTTGTGTAAATTTTGTATCATTCCTGTCTTAAATGTGAAGCCATCTGGACTTGGTAATTGTGGGTGTGTGAGGATTTTTAATTATGAATTCAAATATTTTATTAGATTTAGAGACATTCTGAATTTCTATTTCTTCTTGTGATGAATTTGTTGTATTTTTTTCCCAAGGAATTTATCCATTTCATCTGTTTTAAATTTTATTAATGTAAAGCTGTATACAATGTTCTCTATTTTTTAAATGTCTGTAGAATTGGCAGTCATGTACCTTTTTTTATTTCCTGATATTGATAACTTGTGTTATCTTTTCCTTATTGTTTTGATTTCTAATTTAATTATGTTTCAGTCAGAAAACATACTTTCCATGGTTTCATTCTTTAAAATTTATTGAAGTTGTTTTATGATCCAGCATATGGTGTTCTTGGTGAATGCATGTGAACTTGAAAGGTAGGTGTATTCTGTAGTTATTGATGTAGTGTTTTACAAAAGGCAATTAGGTCATGTTGTTTGATAGTGCTGCTCAAATAATCTATATCTTTACTGACTTTTTATCTATTAATTCATCATTTACTGAGAGAAAAGTATTGAAATCTCTAACTGTAGATTTGTGTATTTGTCCCTTTTGGTCTATCAATTTTGCTTCATATTTTTCAAACTTATCATTAGGCATATACATATTTAAGATCATTATATCTTCTTGATGAATTGATTCTGTCATCATGGTGAAATAACCCTTTTTATCTCATGCAATTATCTTTGTCTTGAAGTTTACTTTCTGTAGTATAGACATAGCAGCTTTCTTGTGCTTATTGTTTATCTTTTCCCATTCTTTTAATTTTTCTTGTTTATCCTTTTACTTTTAACTTGTCAGAATATTTACATACTTAAGGTACATCTCTTGTAAACAGACTATTTGAGTGTTGCTATTTTACCCTATCTGACAATCTCTGCATTTTAATTGGAGGGTTTAATGCACTTATATTTAATGTAATTCTGGACATGGTTGAGTTGAACTCTACTATCTTGTGTTTTGTTTCCTGTTTGTCCCCACTGCTGTTTCTTCCTTTGTTCTACCTTTCCTGACTACTTTTTTGAGTTATTGAGCATTGTTTTAGTAGTTCTTCCCATTTCCTCTATTGACATTTTTTTCTTTTGTCTGAGTTCTTTTTTTTAATTAAAACAATGTGGTTATACAATCACCCTTATCATCAAGTCCCCCACCATACCCCATTGAAGTCACTGTCCATGAGTATAGTAAGATGCCACAGAGTCCCTATTTGTCTTCTCTGAGCTACACTGTCTTCCCCATGGCTCCACACACACCGTGTGCACCAATCATGGTATCCCCACAATCCCCTTCTCCCTCACTCTCCACCCACCCTCCCTCACCCCTCCCCTTTGGTAACCACTATTGATTTTTGATTTATACCTCTTTGTATAATTATTATAAATATATGCTAGTATTTACAGTATATATTCTTAACTTATATCAGTCAATCTTTAATTAGTATCATACTTCACATATAATTTTATTTATTTCCTTCCTGTCCTTTATGCTGTTTCTGTCATATATTTTATCTTTTACATCTGTTATAAACACTATACATTGTTATTATTTTTGCCATAAGCAGCTCATTGACTTTTAAAAAGTTAAGAAAGAAACTTACATTTTATATTTTCCCACATATATACCATTTTCATTGTTCATCATTCTTCCCTGTAGATTTGAATTTCCATTTGCTATCAGTTCTTTTCAGGCTAAAGAACTTTCTTTAGTATTTCTTGTAGTATAGTTTTACCTGTGGCAAAAATTGTTTTAATTTATAAGATGTATTAATTTTGTTTTTATTTTTGAAATACTTTTTGTCTTTGTATTGCATTTTAGATTGTTAAGTGTTTTTATTTTTGTTTTTAGCAATTCAAAAATGTTCACTTGTGATGAATTTTTCTGATGAGAAAAAAGTCATAATCTTTTCATTGCACCCATGTATGTATCATGCCTGCCCCCCACAGGCTGCTTTTAATATTTTCTTTTCTTTTTTTTTTGGTTTTCAGGATTTTAACTGTGCCATATCTAGATGTGGTTTTCATTTTAATTATCCTTCTTGGGGAGTGGTGAGGTTCCTGGATCTGTGCAATAACAATTTTGAACAAATTTGGAAAAATTTTAGCCAAATGTTTTTCTCCTCCATTCTCCCTCTCTGTTCTTTCTGGGATCCTAATTATATTCATGGACTGCTTGATACTGTTCTACAAATATTCTGGGGCTCTGTTCACTTTTATCAGTACTTTTTTCTTTTTTGTCTCATTTGAATAATTGCTATCCACCTTTCTTCAGGTTTGGTTATTGTTTTCTCTCCAATCTTCTGATAATCCCATCCA